GGCAACAGCAGCAGCGTCGGCGGCATTGGAGCTGCGTCCAGTGGTGGTGCAGGTGCAGCATCAACAACTGAGCCAAATAACGGTGAACAGAGTCCCACAGTCTGTGAGCTGGGCAGCAGCGGCGGCGCCAATGCAACAATAAATGGTCAAGTGGCAAGTAAGTTTACCTCTAGCCTTACATTCCTCAACAGCCGACACTGAGCGGGGGCGGGGTTGGGGGGCGTAGCTTTCTATGTGTGTCCTCAGACTCAAAATTTTTAGTTTGTACAGAGGCCCTGACTATATTCAAGAGTTGCTCAGCTTAAAGCAGAGAGAGAGAGAGAGAGAGAGAGAGCGAGAGGGAGAGAGAGAGAGAGAGAAAGAGACACTAAGCTACAATTTGAGTAGATTTTCTGTGTGGGATGCTGCCTTTGATTTTTAGCATCCTGAACTCATTAAGACCGTGAGGAGTGGCCAGTAAAAGTAGCATAAAACATTTTGCCAAACCACCACCAAAAAAAAGAAAAAAAAAACTTGAAAGCCCAGAGATCTCTCTCAGACAACAGCAGCAACTGGAGACGCGATAAGCTGGCAGAGCAGTAAGGAGTTCCTCCAAACGATACCTTTAAGCAGTGGAATCTCGAGTGTAACATAAATTTAAGTGCTGCATAAAAGCGAACTTTATGGAGCAGCAGCCACTGCTCGAGTTCCGAGTTGCTGTTGTAGCCCTGCCACTGGCGCTTGCACTGCCAAAAAAGAAATGGAATGCAGTTAACAGTCCAAGTGGGTGGCAACGTTCTTTCCCGCCTCACTTCTCTTTCGTTCGTTCTCTTTTATTTTTTCTTTATTGTGCTTGTTGTTGTCTGTATTCGTTTGCCAAATACGCCCGAGGAGCTGGCTTTGTCCCATTCCTGTGGCTGTTTATGCTCAACGCTCAACGCAGCTAGATAAATCTTTGGCTATTTGCTACTTGCTCGCAATCGTTGCGAGTTGCCTTTGCCTTTGCCTTTGCCATTTCCATTGCCATTGCCAGCCAAAGGATGCCAGGAGCCATTGACTGGGTCTTTCGTTGAGCATTCACATTTACACTTAGGGCTCAACTAAATAGAGAATTATGTGATGTTCACTTAAAGTCGTTCTATAAATTATTGATTTACTCTAGCAATATGACTGAGATGGCTCACGTATGAGCTTATACAACTCTATATACTTTTATCATTTAAATACCTACATATTCTTGCCATACCTGATTTCTTATCTAAATATATTTGAAAGGACCGTTAACCATTCGTACATACAATTCATGGAACAGATAGAAGAATTGGGTAGCCACCAATCGACTTAACTCGCCTCCGTTACTCTCTCTCAGTCTGTGCCTCCCCCCCTCTCTCTCTCTCTCTCTATCTCTCTCTCTCTCTCTCTCTCTCTCTGTCTCTCTCTCTCTCTCTCTCTCTCTCTCTCTCTCTCTCTCTCTCTCTCTCTCTTTGTCCAGTTAGGAGCAGTTTCGGGAGGTTAGCCTATATGTCTGTACGTATGGCTGCCTGTCTATCTGTCTGTCTCCATTTCTACCTCTGCCTCTCTGTCCACAGATCATCTAAACTGTCTATATATAAGGAAAACAAAGCTAGTATGCTTGAAGTAGCAGAGAGTCTTCTCATTGGTCACTTAAAGTGAGAGTCGCCCTATATAAAGGGAAGTACCTGGTGGGGGTCAGTTGTGCAGTGCAGTAATGTGAAACTAAGTGTGTATCGTTTAGCTAAGCTTTAAAGACTTAGAGGAAATACTTTGGGGAAATACTTGGAGAAAGTACTTGAAGGAAATACTTGGAGGAAATACTTGGAAGAAAGACTTTTAGGAAAGACTATAAGGAACAACTTAGCTGCTTAGTACTTACTTACTTAGCTAATCATGAAAGACTTAGAGGGAATACTTAGAAGAAATACTTGGAGGAAATACTTAGAAGAAATACTTGGAGGAAATACTTTGAGGAAAGACTTTGAGGAACTACTTAGAAGAAATGTGTGCTCGTTCATAGGAAAGTCTTAGATAAAATACTTGGAGGAAATAGTTGGGGGACATACTTGGAAGAGGAGGACATACTTAGAGGAAAGACTTTGAGGTAACTCTTAGATGAAATACTCAAAATAAATACTTTGAGAAATACTTGCATAACGTGTGCAAAACTCACTTCTGATCCAGTTTCTCGACTCATTTGCCATATGACGACTTAGTATACATTTTTTGACTTCTGTAATTTCAGTTTATAAACATTTGTGTATATTTTTATTTTATTTGATGTCAACTGTTCGTACGTTTCTCAACATTACGCCTCTCAAGTGTGTTCCGTTAGTGTCAGCCAGTCGATTTGTTTAAACGAAAGTCTCCGAATACATTTGAGCCCAACTGACTATCAATCTAATTGCTGCTCTTGTTACTTATAGAACACGGCTCACTTACCATTGTACGGCGCTCGAATAGTCGCAAGAGCTTCACACAGCTCGACGGACAATCGCAATCAATCGCCTCGCCATCGTCGGGCAGCATTAGCTTCTTCCAAACGCCGATCAGCGAGTCTCTCGCTGAGCGACTTAGTGCTAAGGGCTCCAACGGCAACTCATCCTTAACAGCCGCCGATAAGCGTGCGGTCGATAGCTCGTCCCGAGCTCAATCGAATCTTACTGGCAAAATGCAGCCGTCGTCGCCAAATCAAACGAATTTCGTAACCGATGCACCTGTGCAACCGACGCCAATCGAGCGACCCACCTTCGATTATAGACTAAGTCGCGATACGACCGAATATCAAAACTCCGTACTCGCCGCCCCAGGCTCGTTATTTCATCCACTAATGGATCAATCGTCGCGTCAATCGTTACAATCGGTCTCAAATACTTCCGCCGGTGATGTATGGGATACGGAAAATTTGCCACCTGTCGATACGCCAGATGCTCTCAACAAAGCAGCTGTCAGGTGAGTCTATGTTTCATTTAGAAATACATAAATATACGATTACGATCAAGTGGTTTCCTAATCAGGAATCACACTTCTCATGTCCTGTTTATTAGTCTTTCAGATATTCCTGCCCTTCTTCTCTTTGAACTATAGTTACAGCATCTAAAAAATATAGAATTACCTCCAGCTATTCCAAAAGACTTGCCCAGGCTGAATTTTCTAGAAACCATAGTCAAGTCTTGAATAGAAACTTTCATAAGCCTCCAATATATCATAATATTACATATAATTATTATAGTATTATAATGAATTAT